AAAAACTTGTATATTTTGCTGATTTGACACCTTCAGAAGTTACCTGAGCACAGCAGATGAAGACGACTGACAACGTGAGCAGGAAAGCAGACGATACAATGACATCCACCGAACGCTGAGGACCCCGTCTCTGCAAATGCAACAGTTTCTCCATTTGTGTCTTTACTTAACATTTAATTTTTTCCAGTTGTACATTTAAGACTTTTACTTTTGTACCTTGAGGTAGGAGCGTAGCGACAGCCACATCTTGATGTTCTGAACTTTCTTCAGCCTAAAATGTGGGACCTCAGACTTCCTCGCTCTGCGGGCCGAAGTCAGGTGACCAAAAAGTTTGGCAAACAGAAGTCTCTGAAACATCGACGTGATTGTAAGTACAGGGACCGTTTATCCGACTTGCAAACGATCAGCAGACAACAGCTTTTATCTGTGCACCTGTTTGTATGTCCTCTCTGCTACGCTGAGCAGGAAGAAGAAGAGCCAGATAAGGCAAACGCGCACCAGGAAGCTGAGCGTTACCATGGTGATTACCAGGACATCTGAACCAGACCCACACCCCAGCGCCACAGACAGAAGCTCATTGGCTGAGAGAGTGGTCAACTGATCCAAGTCACGGTACTGAGCCAGTCTGCATAGGAAAGAAGGATGTAGGTCGGAAAATAATAAATCCACACATTTAAATTCTTAAGTTACTATATTTTTAAAAATGACACCTTGCCAAACTGTTTCAGATACATGTAACAATATTAAACACACAGGCATTAACATGATCATTCAAACTGAATTTTAACTTCAAAAAACACAGTTAAAAAAATGAAAACTGCTATTATGACGAGTAAACAGTTTTTCATAATCATGGTTAGAATTACTACCTGTGGAAACCACCACATAGGTAGGCGAGTTGGCGTTCTCAAATAAAATTATTCACAGATATGTTCTGGATATTTACTTTTGTCCTGGTCTTAACATCCATAACAGCTGATTGTCACTGTTCAAAAGACTTCAGTTGGATCACTATTCAAATACTGACCACACGTGTAGTATGGATTACCTGTAAGCAAAGGGTGTGAGCCCAAGTGCTACTGAAACTAGGTTCCCAAAGACCTGGTAACCGATTCCAGGAGTGTAAAGATTCACCTGTGAAAACATACAAACTACATGAGTACGGTGCCCTCGTTAGTGTTTTTTGCTTGTATGGAAAGCGTCACTCACTCTGTTCATAATCATGCCGCTGATCTCCAGGACAGACATGTCTGCTTTCTTGCACTCGTTTCCCTCCCACACGATGGCGCTCACCCTTTCCAGGCCTGGGTTGGAGCTGTGCAGCCAGGGAAGGTGACCCTGCAGGGAAACCAAACACCATTAAATACTGACACCTCTCGTCACGGCAACTACTACTACTACTTCAGATCATCCCACCCCATCCCCATTATCCTCCTCTGTATGTCCTCTTCCACTATGTCCACAAAGCTTCTCTTTCTCTATCCCTTCTGTGTGACAGCTCCATATTCGACATCCTTTCTCCAATATATCCACTCTCTCTCCTCTTCGCATCTCTCTCATATAATCCTGTATAATCGTACTCAGGTCTCACTACCACCTTGTAAACCTTCCCCTTCACTCTTGCTGCCATCCTTTTGTCAGAAATCACCCCTGACACTCGTCTCCACCCATCGTCTTCTTCTTTTGTGCACCGTCCAATGTTTTGGATGATTGACTCTAGTTGTTTCTACCTTCACCATCTCTACTCTATTTAGTGAAACTTCTCTGCTTTATTACTGCTAAAAGTGGAGGTAAAAGTAGGGTGACCAAAATTCCTGTTAAACTTCAAGTCATCCTAGTGACATATGTGACGTTTCCTCCCATGAATTTGTCATAACTAATGCACGTCGTGGCTCAGTGTTTTCTTCTAATTGTGATATTGTAATGATTTGGTCTAAAGAATAGCAAACAGACAGAGTAGCAAGATTCCTCTATTCCCGTGTGAAATACAATAGAGTATGAATAACCTCCCTCAGTCATTGAAAAAGTTTGGTTACTCAAGTTTTAAGTACTTTAATCCACAAATCCTCAAACTCCAAGTGTGAGAGCATTTACAGACCTGATGGAAAGGGTCGTCTCTGTATTCCTTCTTGGCCGGACACACAGGCGTTCCTCCTCCTTCTCCCTCTGTGAGGAAGAGCAGCGATAGTGCTTATTTACACGCAGTCATCGGAAGGTATGCCAGGGTTCATATGCATTTTTCAGAGTCAACTTCAAGCACTCTTTAAGCACTTTCAAGCTTTTCCAGCACATTACCAAAAAAATCCCAAAACTATCTCCTCAGTAAGACCATGTAAAAATTAAAACAAAATCATCTCAGGTCGACCTAAATGTCCTTTGTTCCCCTTTTGTTAAAACAGAGAAAAATGCACCACACAAAAACACTGAAAAAGGAAATGGCTGCCTTATATGCATATAGTGTACAAACTCAAAAAACACATTTCTCTTAAAATTTAAGATGCGCAAATGTAAACAAATCAACTTGTTAGAGACATTCCTCTCCACTTGAAAAAAACCAACAACCCCACAAAACAAGAAAACTTCACCAAACGCCACAATAACACACAGCAAGGCCAAATTAAGTTTTTTCATCAGATATTGATGATTCTTTCCTGTGTGACACAAAAATAGGAGACAGATGTTTGTTTGTTTGTAACTAGTTAAACACCCACGCCCAGAAAAATGGGGGCTAAATGGAGGAGATCACGTTTAATCGGTTCCTAAATATAAGTGCCGACATGAGTAGTGTCCATATTTTGTTATAGGATTTAAATATGAACCAAAGCATATTTTATGCTATAAAATATTTTAAAAATTAGGTGAAGGAAATAAAAAAATCTAATGTTTCTATGTTTGAGTCACAGTAACTTTGACATAGTAACATCTGCAGTAATATTTACACCTCTGATGACATCTCACAAGTGTTCGCTGTATTTTGTTACCGAGACTGTTTACACACAGTTTGTAGTGGGAGAGAAATGCTCCATTTATTTTGGTCATTTCATCTTCAAGCAGAAAGCTCAGAAAACGCCCGCCTGAGGATCTAACAGCTTAAAGTTAATATTAAAACTCGAGATTTTTCAAGCACCCGTATGAACCCTGGTATGCGTCTGAGTTTAAATGACTTTAGTACCCAGCAGATGATTTCTACATCTTCCTCTCACCTGTCTCTGACGTGCAGGACGATCGGCACTCAGTGCAGTGCAGGAAGTCCTCCCACATCAGGTCCTCGGTCTCAGACTCGTGTCGAGTACTCTCTGAATCCTGAGTCCTCAGACTTGAACATCTGGAGCTGCAGCTGGTACCAGACTTGGGGACATCCTGACAGAAAGGAGAAAATGACTGTCATTTGTTTGAATTTGTCCAGTATAAATGAATGAATGAGCTTCCTGCGAAGGAGTTAATGTGTCCATGCTAACCTCCACAGTGTAGTGTTTCTTATAGTGGTGCGTATTCTTGCGATTTCGGAGTGCACAGTCACTGTTCATTCTTTCCACTCCCCTGCGGAGGGCGCTGTAGGACGCTTCAGGGTCCTCCTCACTGGAAGCCTCATCTGACGCCGGCTCCTTAAAAACAAAGTGACATGAGAGTCAAATCCAGGACAATATTAGGGTTAAAATATTGAAATAATGAACACTGATAGGTTACCTTATTACCACCGGCCAGCAGCAGTCCATTGTTGCGGGCAGCGTGACCGTGTGCAGGCTGCGTGTGCGGGTTCCAGCACACCTCGTCAGCCCTATTTAACAAATCGCATCGCTGCTCGTGGAGCTGGAGCCCCTCCTCGCTACTGCGATTGGTCACGCGGCCATCCAGCGACACGTAGCCGTTGTCCGTTTCTGTGGATTTATCGATGGAAAGCTTGGACTTCTTGGACCTTTGGTAGGAAGCAAAGAAGAGGAAGAACGGAAAGAAAACCAGACCGGAGGTCGATGGGGGGGGAGAGTGCAGAAACAGACATATTTAGATAAGCAGAGAAGTGGCAGGGCTGTGATTATCTTAAACTAGTAAATAATTACAGTTAGAAAATTAGACATGCAATAGCAAACTCACAACAGGATGCATTCAACACAGTAATGTGGAACATTCACACAAAATAAACGCTTGTAATGGCAGCTAAGTCGACATCGAGTAAGATACCTGCATTTTAAAATACAGTGTTTTATCTGTAGTACAATTGGTGATACTGCTTTCTGATACTCATTACAAGAGATTTTTTAAAACTATTTTTGGAATAAAAGAGCCTGAATCAGATAGAAGAAAGTGTTTTGGAGCTAAAGTGAGTGTGGCAGATAATCAGTGGATGGATTTCCCAAATAAAGAGCTACTTGGATCTCAAAAAGGTTCCACACTGTTGCGGTCTGCTGAAAGCTTGTTCAAGTAGAAGCATGGGGGTTAGGGCTTTACTCACCAGACATGCACGCCTCTTGCCCCAGTGCTTCTTTTAAACGTAGCTTTATCAGCAAATTACTGGCATAAAATTTAGCTGCAAAATCCACCTGCACCTCATTAATGAGGGAAAGATTTGGCACTACAGGAAGCAGAATTTACGCAGGCGTTAAACTGCAGAACTGACTTTACATTTCAGCACCAAGCTTGCCTGTTTAGTTGACCAATGAGGGGGACGGTGTTCTCCATCCCTTCCTAAATAAACGTTATGTTATGATGTTGCAGCTAAAGAAGCCCAGGTTAGGCTCTGAGGCAAGGCTGACGTTTGAAATTCAGAGATCTCTTTGCAAATTAATGGATTCAAACTGTAGCCCAGCCCTGCCTACGTTCATCATCTCATTGTAGGAAGATGGAAAATGAAAATACACACCCAGCTTTACAGATATCATGCCAGAAATCTTGGAAGAAAGCGCCCAGGCTGTATGTGGTGCTGGCTGAGTGGGAGTGTGGCGCCCCCTCCTGTGTGTTATCGGTAGTGCTAGACCCGTCGCCTTCCCTATGCACCTCCATCTGAGATGCCTTCCTCAACTTCCTTCGGTTTGGAAAAAAGTGGAGAGACACTTAGAGCGGACCTGGAGACTCCTGACACCACAGCCGTGTGTCCACCGGGAGTCTGGCTGCACCTTCATCGTAACACTGATGATACGGTTCAACTAACACAGGAAGCTAAACTCAAAAAAGGTGCTGTGACTCAGCCGGCACCCGCTGGACACACAGGCTGAAACAGATCAAAGGCAAATTCTCCCAAAATCATCATCTAGGCTGTTACTCTGCAAAAGTAGATTCATGAAATGTTACAAGCTAAAATTTAAATATAATAGCATCAAAACAAAAAGATGATAAAATAAGGATTAGGATGCTTCCAGTTTCACTGGTGTTCTTTGGGTTGTGAATGTGATAAACTGAAATTCTGTGTTTATTTTTGCAGGACATTAACATAAAAAATGATTATCAAGAACTTGATTGTCATTATTTTAATATAGGACACACAGGAGAGGTGCAGGACAGAGCTTCTTCTCAAAATTTAAAAGCAAAGAGTTCATTATGATGAAAAAAAAGTTAATTTAAATATTTTGCTGCTGTCAATTGATATGACGACATGTCTCCAAAGGTAGGATAAAGAAAAGAGAGAAAGGTCACAACAAACTCCTCTTTGATCAAATGTGATTGTTTTCTGTCGCCTGAAAATCACAAGAAGTACAAAGATTGATTCAGTATTGAGGCACACTATTTTTGTATCCCCAGAAAACCTTTCCAAAACAGTGGCATGGTCCAATTTTCTTCCCAGGAGTTTGAAAATTGTCTTTACGTTACTGTGAGCCAGAAAAGCAGCCACACACCAAAAAGCCTTGAACCAAAAAACAAAAACAAAAAACAAAACACAAAGGGAAACTCACAGACTGCAAATCTAAACACTACAAAACACAGCAGCAATAAGCAAACTACTCTACTTTCTCACACACACACAGAGCTCATTTCATCTTTAAGAAGTGACAGCACATTCATCCAGGGTGTGTTTTAGTACAGATTTGAGTGTTTTACGCTTTACATTAACTGAGGTCAGATACACCCCAGCAACAAAAGAGGTTTTCATTCATTTTTCTTTCCATCACTCTTTTGGTATCTCGTGGTTTGTATATCATCTAAATACTGCCTTTGTTATTTCACATCTTCCTCTTTATCTCTTCCTGACTCTCTCTTTTGTCCCTGAAGGGCTTTATCTCATGTGATGCCTTCACCTCCTCCCCATCTAGTCTTCCTAAAAGCTTTCACTCAGCAATACTTCTCAGCCCTTCTCCCTTCCTCACCTGCGTCTCTTCCCCCCACTGCTGGAGGCAGGTTTCGGGGTCCTGGTGGAGACAATCTGACAGTGGACGGTGCCCAGCAGCAACATGAGCAAGATGGCTTCAAACACCTCGGTGGCCGGTATCCCATGAGGCTGCGGGATGGTCACATACAGGAATGCTGCAGCGACTGTGAGAAATATGAACAAACAGGATTCATTAGAGCAGAAACAGACATTAAATTAAAGTAACAGTAGCAGCTTGAAGACAAAACTGCAGGTCTACACATTACATACAGCTTGTTTTAATCTACAAGTTTAACAAATGAGTAGAAAAGAAGTCTGAATGTGACTCAAGTGAGCAAAAGCTCCTCTAATGTTAATGTTTTGCAACAGAAAAACACACCAACTCAAATATGCAAAAAGAACTGATGAGTTTTAATATCTTCCCCTGGATTGGCCAACTGCTCTCCATCCCATCCCTCCATGTTACTATTTTATTTGTTGCTTCTCTGCTTGTCTCTTTCTTTTTTCTTTCTTTTCCAGTGTATGCTCAACAATTTAAATTAAAAAAAAAAAAAAATAGCTTGACACTTCAAGTTATTTTCATTGTAGTGTCAACAAGAAGGCGTGTGGTGTTTTATGTGGTGTGTAGACGAGGTCGGCAGGAAGGGTGGAGGGAGAGATGAAAAACAACAGCGTTTTCTTCAGGGTAGAAAAGGTCAACGTGATGTAGGTGGTGGAAAATACCGTTCAGTGCTCGTGAAAGTGTTTGTGCAGAGAGAGCGAGTGAGAGTGTGCATCTGTGGGTGCAACCTGGAGGTGCTTCTTATAGAAGTCTGTGCATTTTAGGAAAAACATTATCTTACAAGCGCTTTGGCAGCTGTTCAAGCAGTTTGTGAACCTCGTTTTAAACTGAAGACTAAAGAAGAGGAATAAATTACCCTTACAGTCGGCTCCATGTTTTTATTCTGGGAGTCTGCTGGAGTACCTTTGCATGATTCACAGTTCAGAACATTTGCGTCTTATAAGAGGCCTTGGTTTATCCTCCAGACTGTTGTAGCTCCTACCACTTTAAAACCACTTTCTTCTGATTGGCAGCCCTTCACAGGTTTTCAATAACAGAGAGCTGGGGCTTCTCTGTAGAAATGTGTGTGCCTATTCTCCTGAACCATAGGTGTCACCACTCAGACAAAACTAGAGGCAAAGACTTTGAAAACATGAGACTTGTGGAAAAACGCTCTGCAAACTATCGCAACTTCTCCCTCTCTATATCTGCATATCTCTGAGCCTCTGTCCCAGAATCTCTTTCAAATGGCAGTAAAAACCAATACAATCATACACGCGTGGCTTCAACCCAGCTGCGACATCAATGTTGCAACACGGCAGATCAGGAGCCGCAGAACCGACCAAAGCAGAACAATCTGCTAGACCAAAGTAATCATGAGGTTCTTGTGCAGCACCCTCTTGTGACTGACAGCTGGCAACCACTTGCAAACCAATTGGAGAATACACATTTTCTCTAGTAACAGCAGATTGCCAGGGAGTCGTCTAAGTCTGTGCGACTGATACATAAGATGACCATATAAGGAGACATCTCCTCTGATGTTGTGCATATCCAAGAATTTAAAAAATAAAATAAAAAAATAAAAAAATCAGGATTATTGTACATACACTAACCTCATTCTTTGAAAGTTTGGTCATGTTTAATATGATCAAATCTAAATGTAAAGAGCAAATATATGACAGGAGATAAAGAAAAAGCAATAGGTCACTCACTCAACAAATAATCAGGATTTATTTATTTGTACATCCACTACAGATGTTGAGTGTTCACCCTGACATCTTACTAAACAAACAACTCGTCCCACAGTTTACTTAGGAGTTGCATTTCCACTCCACTGAGAGCACCAAGATTGTGGGTTGTGAGAAAAGAAAAAAAAGAAACACACTCTCACACCAACCTTGCAGCAGATAGAGTGCCAGCAGTAAGAGGAAAATGGCCCTGGAGGTGACCTGGATCCACCATCTGTAAAAAAACGGGAAGAAGACGACTCGAACGATGCCCTTCCGGGTCAGTGACGTCCATGGACTCTCAGGTTTGGCCTTGGCAAACGCAGACCCTGAGGATAAGAAAACAGAAACAAACACACACACTTTCAAGTTTAATGAGAGCTAATTAAAGCAAATGACTCTGCTGTGAGCAGAAAAGCACATCAGTTAATACATCCAGGAGTCACATTAGAGCTCAGCTAATCTTTTAATCTTCGCTTCTTCCTTTTTAGGCTCCCTCTCCCTCCTCATCTATCTTTTTTATCTCACCAGATCCCCCCCCCCGACTCAGTTTATCTTTTCCCTGCCTGCGTTTCTGCCTTGATTATGTCCCTAACCAAGGGGGATTAAACTGACTCTTCTGATGAATAATTGAAAATGTGATGAATATGAGACGGATGGATCGAGGCAGAAAGAAAGAGCGGGCATTAACAGCGACGGGAGGTTGGCACGGCCATGCTGCCCGTCTCACGTTCACATGTGTATCTTTTATGCACATGTGGAAATGTTGCAGTCGGTCTACTGGATTTTCCTTAAGCAGAAAGCCCCCATTTTTTTTACCCCCTCACCTCTAACCAAGTCCACATCGATGAGATCTGGTTTAACGTGTCCCGTCTTCTTTGGCTTGTTCCTCAAGCCCTGCAGGGGGAGAGAGACGCAGAGTGAGTGCGACACAAAGAGACATCATTAATATGCAAGTACTCACACAGGGATACACGCTGCTCGTGCACTTTATGCCTTCATAAACACAGGTGTGGTCAGTGTCTGATGAGGCACACCGTGCACTCACACAGCTACGGCTTCTACTCTAAGAGTTTATGCATCTACACACATCAAGCAGATTTACATGTACAAGAATCCATTAATTCGTGGAGAACTGCATCTACACTTTAATGTTTATTTTGATTCTTGTGCTGTGGTGCAGCTTTTTTTGATGAATATACCCTCTCAGACCCTGAAGCCAGCCCTGTCATTACAAACTGTGTAATAGCGCTTACTCATTTTGACTGCTGTAGTTAAATACGGTGCTTTGTTCAGTTTATGACCCTGGGAATAACGCTCCCCTGTGGCATGCCAACTTCCTGTGCCAGCCTGTCACATCCTCCTATGATGCATACGCTCCATTTGTGTGTGTGTGTCTGTTTTTGTGTGTTATCTGTTAGCTCAGATAACAAACTGTACCGAAACATTATGAGCGACTATAAATTATAAAATTCACATGAATCTCTTGTTTGACCTTTCTCCCTGTGTGTGTGTGTGTGTGTGTGTGTGTGTGTGTGTGTGCGTGCGCGCGTGTGTGTGTGTGCGCGTGAGAAAGAGAGATTAAGTACAATGCCTGAATTAGTGTGTAAGCAGCCCGACAATAGTTTGGATTAAATTATTATGATCTATAAACACAGCCGAGGTCACAGTGCTGTGTACACATGTGTGCACCTCTGTGTGCACGGCCTTTTTCTTGGCTCACCGTTGGGCTCCTTATGGCTTTACTGCAGCAGTTCTGACTAATTTCATGGAAAGCCACTCATCTCACAGGACCAATAATTGCATTTCTGTCATGGTCTTTAGGAAAGTTGAGGCTTGTAGTTTTTCAAACTTAGGACTCCACAAGTTTATGAAATATCCTCAGGCCTGTCTGAGGTGGCACTGAGGCTCCGATTTCCTGGGAAGAACCAGCCTGTTCACAGAAAAGGTGTCTGGAAATATCTGGAGACAGGTTCTTCTGCTGTTGAATACTCTTGCACGTTTCCTCTTAACACTAGAGTTAAGTGGAAACGTGCAAGAGTATCTAGATTACTGTATCCTTTTACATCTTTCCTGGCAAGCACTCGTCTGTTTGGTTTTTCAGGGCTAGATTGTGCACATCGCAAAATCTCTGGAATCATTTTAGGAAGACGGCCGCAGAAGCTCCGATTACTCTACATCATAATTACTGCTGAAACATTAAACCTATTTTTAGTCAGTCACCAGATTCCTGCATCTTTTTCCACTTTTGTGGAGTCTCAGTTTTCTGGCAGCTCCTTTCCAAACGTAGCCATAATCCAGACATGCTGCTAGAAAAAGCCCATAAGTTTAAAAATAAGGGAGGTATGGTGTTCATTGGTCTTTATATAACTATGTTCATGCAGTTCGGAAATCACAGGTAATCACTTTTCCTTCATACTGAATGTATTCCTCGTCTGTACTTGCAGCTGGATCCAAGTTTGGGCTTTCTGAGAGTACAATTTTTAGTCTTGGTATCACCTGAAACCTGGTTTTCTATCAACACTAGTACTGTCCTTAAGTCCTTAAGTAAGTCCATTCAAATTCTGCACATTTCAATGTGAGACATATCCAAGAGTACTGTGAAATACCACATAAAGCGGTGCACCTGAATCTGCTCAGCTCATGCTAATATTTACATAGCAGCCAATCAAGTTCTGTTATCAGCGAATGGTCTGATATGGAGCCTCGGTGAAGGTTCTTATCTTTAAATAGCACTATTTACATGCTAATATAGTGTGTGTGTGCGCGCGCATGTGTGTAAGAGAGTAAAGTAGATGCAGGTAGAGTCTTTACTGCAGCAGTAAAGTCCTTCACGAGCATCTCGCCTGGCCTCAGCTCACTTATCTCCATGCTGTGAAAAGCCTTTTATCTTCACAAGCTAAACATTGCTTCTGTGACTGACTGTGAAATATGTACAAAACAAAAGTTTATTTAAATCTAACATTTACAAACACTCTTTGCATTCAGTAATCACCACTTCTCTCACTGCTTTTCATCTGTTCTTTTGTTGCTGATGCTTGGCTGCATTTCAAGTTGTTTTTAGCCCTCAAACAGTAGTAACAGCAGTTTCCTGCCTGCACAGCAGGGGGCAGCTTGGGTTCTTCTCCAGACATTTCTACTATTAACAAACTCACGCTAGGTTTAGTTCAGTTTAATAACCAACCCCAACTGAGACGTGAAGTCTTTCTAATCCTAATTTTATTTTGTTAATAAGAGTTTACATTGTTTAAAAAAAAAAAAACAAAAACAATTTCAGCTCCTGTATCTGATGTTTTATTGTGTATGAACAGATTGTGCTCATGAGTGACAAATGGCATTTATTTGTTTGTGTTGTAACAATAAGGCTTAACACCAATTAAATAAAATGGCATTGGTCTTTAAATCATTAAGTAATCCAAAAGTACACTTTCTTTCCAGTTTGTAAATAAACTGCAGCTATGATCAGGGTTGTGATAAGAATAAAAGAGCAGTTCTCCTCTCTAGTGAGATAAGCTGTCGTCTTCTGCTAAAAATAGAATGAAGAGACTCGTTTCTCTAGATTTATGATGCCGATTGGTTGAGTTTATATGAGCCAATAAACGGTATAATTAACACTTAGCAGGAGTTAGAGCATCTTGTGTCAGTACCACACTAAGATGCGCTCTGTACTTCCTGCTGCAGCTGCAGACTCTGGGAAACCATTGCTTAACAGACATAAACCAAGGTCAGTGGTGTGCATGTGCGCGCGTGTGTGCACGTGCGTGCGTATGTGCGCGTACTGAGCTGATTAAAAAGTCTGTTTCTCTAAGAAGTACTATATGAGGGATGGAGGGTGATAGAAGCACAGATCTGTCAGATAGCAAAACTCTCATCTGAGGCCGATTCAATGCATATGAAATTTTAATAACTCCTTCAATAAAAAAAAATAAAACTACAGGAAGTTTAAATGCAAGAAAACTTTTCTGATTTAAAAAAGGTCAAAAGATCAGAGGTTGAACTTCCTATGTTGGTATAGTAATTTCTGCACTAAGGTGTCATCTTTTGGTTGTTACGGTAACTGAGGTCACATGTGCACATTGCTACTGTGAACTAGATGTTGAGGATGCACATTGTTAGGTCTGTGATGAGAGAAACACACCACACTGACTGGTCACAGGAATGCAGCTGTGACCCTGAAAACTACGTGATAACAAACCAGTAACCAATAAGAGTCTATTTTGTCTACAGCGTACGATGAGCAGACATGCACTGTGGGAAAACAGGAGGAACATCCTCCCTGCTGTGTACTCACCAGAGAAATAAACTGAAGAGAGGAAGAGAAAAAGATGATAGGAGGAGGAGGATGGAGGTGAAGTGAGGACAAATGGGCAGATGACACACAGCCAGGAGGACAGAAAGGAAAGAGTGAAAAGAAAACATAGGAAAAGTGACGGCAGAATAAAAACTCAATAAAACTGAAGCGATAATGCAAAAGGAACCACAAGACATGAAGGATGAATAAGCAGAGACCAGAAGGAGAAACAAACAGGAAAATGAAAATGGCAAAAAGCAAAAAACCAAACCAAAACATGGAAGTGTGGAGGAAACAGACCTTTATTTCTCTCTGCTCCACTGATTTCTCCCATATCTGTTGGTCATAGGCGCCAATCTGGAAAAATAAAAACAAACAAGGTATTAATTATGAAATCCAGTGAAGAAACCAGCAGTAAACACAAACCTAGTACAAGCTTTAATCTTACAAGATGCTCTGCAGACTTTACAGAAAAAAAAGTAGTAATGATTGAAAACCACAACAGGTTTCTTTTACACACAACAAAGTTTCTGTTCTGATAAAGACTGCAGAGCAAATAAAGGTTAGTGGTCAGACCATCTGCCTCTGAACAATCAAACTTATGAATAAAGCTTGATCTACTTTCATTCTCTGCATGAAATCCACCCTTCATCTGCTAGCTGCATCATCCCCATTACCTACAGCCTCATTATATCTCATAACAGGAGGAAGCCTGCAGAGACACACGATTATGGTTAGAGCTTTGTTTTGTTTTGTGTGGGAGTTCAAGATTTCAGGCTCTTGCTTCACAACTGGAACTGTCACGGTCTCATAAAACTAGCTGGAATTTATTGAAAATACAACAGATATGGACGGATCTGAAAGTGAGCCATTAAAACACAGTAAATCAGACCCATAAGGAGAAATCCACTCCAGTAACGGGATTGTAAAGATGTCTGAACCTGGTGAATCGATGTTTTCTCCTCTAATGCTTTAAGAACTTTTGGTTTCAGCTGGTTGTATTTTAGTTATACTCCGATATAAAAGCAAGGTTGCCGAGCGCCTGTGTCATTTTGTGGTTAAATCTCCATCTCCCAAACAGAGGAGCAGTTCAGCCATTATGTTGGAGGATGAATTATTGCACTCTGAGCAATCTACTTTAATAAAGTGCTGCTGTGGCACGACTCTCAGTCTGCAGACTTTTTGGATGTTTTAATAACAGATAGAACTACAGCAAGTTAACAGGGATGTAAACACTTAATGCACTGAAATGTACAGATCACATAAAACCAGCAACAAGAACACATTACACCTACAGTACGTCCTGTCTGTTCTTTTCCTTGATTACCTCTTAACTGGAGTACAGCTAACAAAAACCCCTGATAGGATAATATGCACCAGCAGCTAGTATTTACCAATATTACACACAGGAGGAAGGGCAGGGCGAAATGAAGGGTGCACCACTTGTTACTGTCACAGGGATCAGAGGGATCAATAGACCTGCAGAGTGTTGGTGCGTGTCGAGGACTAATCGTGTTTATCAGGGTGTGCGTGAGGTCAGAGGAGTGGATAAGCCATTATATGCTATTATGTGCCAAGCAATGTGGTCTGTATGAGCCAAGCACAGCAGACACCAGAAAGAAAATATATCAGACAATGATAGAGAGTGCTGTTACTGTAAGAACAAGATATATTTGTATCTGATCTGGGAACACAGATCAAAACAAACGCACTCCAAGGTCAGACTGCACCAATTTCACAGGGTTGCTGGTTTCTTATGTCACCTGCTTTTAGATTTCACAATTAGAAGATACAATTCTACTAGAGTTGCACTATTAAGCAGCTTCTTTAAAAAAACAAAACAAAACCCCCCCCCCATCTCCTGGTAGAGGTGTCAGCAGATCAGGTTTTTCTTGCGAGCTTATATGCCTCCATGGCATCGAGTCTGGGTCACCCCATCAGCACGCCAGTGGAAACTATGCATATTTAATGCAGTTTCATTAATGATGAATGGAGAGAGAGAGAAAGAGGTCAAAGACGACGAAGGAAGAGCACCAAGAGAGACTGAAACAGAGAGGAATCAAATTTAGGAACTCAAGAAGAGAAAGTGTGTGCCATGTAGTTACAAAAAAAACAAACAAACCCTGTCTTATTACGAATATCACTTTACAAGTCCTCCAAAGTTCTTTTTATTAACAAAACAACGATCACATTAGTAAAATGATTTGTTCTTTTATGTGGTGCAGACAGCACCTCAGTCTGGTGACATCTCCATGTCAACGATCACATATAGCAGTAAAAGATGTGGGTCAGGCAAGGTGTCACATTGTGGCCGTCCCACATAACAGGCACACTTTGACACCAGCTTCAGCACGTGCCTGTTGTGACACCGCCCTCCCGCAGGTCACACTATGGTACAACTATTGAGTACACATCAATCCCAAATTCTAATCAATTGGTTTTGTCTGGAGGTAGCTGGGTACTGTGAGGTTAATCATGCGGTTTCATGGACAGTTTTCAAATTATATTGTCTGGAACTAGCAGTCAGATTGTGATGCACTCGTTTCCTCTTTATGAAGAAGCAATATTTGATAATATTCTCTCTGTGTACAGAGATACCAATCTTTAGAACCAGGGTGCTGCTCTGATCGCATCTATTCCAGAGGTTCCAGATGTGTTTAATGCTGTAAAGACTTGTTCAAATACAAACAAACTAATTCTTCTATCAAGAAGTCTGCTGTTTTGATTATTTCAATATAAAATTTGTCAGTAAAAGGTCATTTATTCGCTTTTCCAACCTTTGCTAATGAATAACCTTATAAAATGAATAAATCCTAATTACAAATGACAAATGTTTATTGATAATAAAGCAACAAGCCGGGCCAGACAACACGGTCTCTGGAAAGGCCTCATTGAGGAGCAGTGGTTGTGAGCGTATTTTGAACAAAGTTTGTTGTTAATTTCTGATGTTTTCTTCGCCTTTACAACATCAGAGAGCTCATAACAGGTAGAAACAGCTAAGTGTGGAGGGAGGATGACGGTACACGACCGTACAGTGTTTTTATTTACCGGAGTAGCTCGGAATGGGAACTAAACAAATTTGGAAATGCATGCTGAAGCTGGAATGAAAGGAATTGTCTGCCTAGGTTCCAAGTCTTAAAGTTAAGATAAACCGTCTCCAAAATATCAGTTTATTGATATTTATAATGACCTGGCCTTCTGTTATTGTGCTAAAAGTAGACCATAGCAAAGCAAGTTCAGTATTTCTAGTTTTATGGGCTAGAGATACTGAACTTGAGCTGACAAGACACCAGGACTAACTGTAAACAGATACATTTTACAATTCAAAATCAAGCAAGTTTAATGCATTACAAATAAGTATGGACAATAATAATAGAAAAACTTGAGAAATCTTTGGTTATGCAGCTATAATTATGTATTAAAATACAAGTATGCAGATGTGAGAAGGGAAAAAGTCTTTAATTGCGTGTTTTAAAGGGTACACTGTACAGTGAGTGTGCAAAATCTACCTGCTGCTGCTTATAAATCTAACTAACTATAGGAAGGAAAAAAAAAAAAGACCATTTTTTTCAACGGGTGCAACTTGAGACCTCCGTCTAATTTTAAACTCCTATTTAAACATTTATGACTTGGCAGACTCTTTGTCCGAGGCGACGTACAAATAAGGAAAGAATCCACGCTGGAGTGGACTGAGAAGCCTTTTAAGCAGGTGAATAAACACTCATCTCAGTGTTCAGCTTCATAAGCATATAACGAAGAACTTATACTTGAAGCTAGAATTGAATATTACCTTTTACCACTGCTTTAAAACATTATAGATGCTTTTCAAAATAAACCCTTCATGTGTTATATAGTAAAAGGGTTGTGACTTATCGACTAGGGACAGATGAGGATCTCGAGGCTCCACCAGTAAGGTAAAACCAGCTGAGTTCTGGACGTCTGACTGACTGCATGACATTTAGACTGACAGCTAATTTTCCACTCCACTCGGCCCATTAAAACACACACACTCACACGCGAGGATGTTTGACTGTCCTCCACATATGCTCCAGAGGACAAACATGACCAGACTACTAAGTAGGAAGATAAAAGTGGAAGGGGGATAGATAAGAGTGAAAGTTGGTATGGAAAGTGGAGGCACACGCACACACGCTCATCTGTTGTTACATCATAGAGTCGCGAGGTAACTGTGATTTGACAGAGAGGCATTTACAGCACTGTAAATCCTCTTATCACCACACTCACACACCGTTACATCACTATCTATTTACCTCATCAACCACTCATGATCAGCCAGCTGGTTTTGACCATTTTGCAAAAAACTACTTTAATAAATCTCAAATACTTAAATTCTCAGTTTTAATGTAAGGATTTGGACCAGGGAAGAACAAAAAAAAAATTCAAAGTTCAGCAATTTGACAAGCAAATCAAGAGCTGAGAGCGAAGAGGCCGAGTGTGCCTCTGCAGCAATGCTGGAGTCGTCATGACAACAGAGAGGGACGATGCACCGAGGGGAGTCGGAGGAGGAGAGCGGAGTTACATAACTGCCTCTGCAATTGAGGGGGTATCAGAGACAAAGACAGATGCTGACTTTCAGAGGAATGTTGTTGACGTGAAGTTTAACATATTAACAGAAATTTCAGCCGCGAATGATTTACACTCTTCAGTGCGCGATGTCGTCATTCATCCGTTGTCTGCTTGGGGTTTAGTCGGCTTAAAAATAACGAGTACTCAAATGTCAATCCTGGTCACAGACTTTACTGCATTGACTTTAAATCTGCTGTAATCAATATTTCTGCATTAACCATGCCTTCGAGGACTATCTCACATGATTTATCCCCTCATACCTATGAATCCTATAAAGGCCTTAATTACTGTTCAACCGTAAACTTCAACTCTAGCGTCCAGAAACCACAACATTTCCCCTGGGAATTAGTGTACACCAAAAACAGAACAACAAAAGAGCAAACACGATTCCAAATAAATGGTAATGTTGCTCTGTTTGTTGTGGGTTCCTTGTGTAAACTGTTAACACGTTTGTCATATAAACTTTACAGGGGGACAACCTGTCAGTGGACATTATGTAACAATCCTGAACAGTGCAGCTTCAAACGAAATGGGCCGCTGAGGTTTAAGAGGGTTGGGTGAGTCTGCTACTAATGACAGGGCCGGGAGTTCAATTCCCTACTCAACTGCAGGTTTTGCAGAAGCCAGGTAAACAGTACTGTGCAAAAGACTTTAGCCTACCGCATTTTCTTCATATTTTACCAGGAAAATGCAAAAATAGGTGCAGTGATTTATTGAATGGCAATGCAAAAACAGAGTTTGCACTATTCTAACGAGTTTCATTCAAGTGG